ACTAAGCCTAGTTTTCAAAGAATTCCCAGAATGAGCTAACTCGCGGTTCACAATCGTGATTTCAACATTTTTCCGCCTGTCCCGCGTGGAAGTGGGCAAAACTTAAATTCGTGGTTACAAAAAGTGCTTTCAATTAACAAATCGCGGTTACAAAACGCGATTTTAATTAATTTTTTTTGCTTTTGAACTCGCTGTTACAAACAGTGATTTTATCCAAAAACATTCTTAATTTTTTTTGCTTTTGAACTCGCTGTTAGAAACAGCGATTTTATCCAAAAAAACATTTTGTTCTTAATTCACTGTTGAGAACCACGAGACCTTTATGAACTCGCTGTTTGTAACCACGAGTTTAACAAAAATCATGTTTCTTATGAACTCGCTGTCCCAAAGGACGTTTTATGAAAAGCAAAAAAAATCATATTCCGACGCTGTGAACTCGCTCTTTGTAACCACGAGTTTAACAAAAATCATTTTTCTTCTCAACCACGCTTTTTTGCCAAAAAAATTTTCTCCTATAATTGTTGTTATGAACCACGCTTTTAGCGTAATTTTTTTTTTTTCAGTTTAACTAAACTTTGAAGAAGAATTTTTTTTTTTGTTTTTTTTTTTTTTGTTTCTGTTGTCATTGTTTTGGTGATAATGTATTTCAGAATAATTTTTTGGGTTAAAATTGTTTTACTAAAACCATTCTCATGTTAATTTTTTTTTCTTTTCTCTTGTCTTTATTTTGGGTTAGAATGTGTAATTCAACATTTTTTTTTGGTTTGACTAAAGTAAATTTATTTTATTTTTTCTTGTGTTTGTTTTGGGTTAGTAGGTAATAATGTAATTCATAAATTTTTTGAGCTTTAGTAAAGCCGTTTTGATGTAAATTTTTTTTTTATTTCATTTTTTCTTTGTTTTAGGTTACAAGGTGTTATTCAATAATTTGTTTGGACTTTAATAAAGCCGTTTTCATTTAAATATATATATTTTTTCTTTTGTCTTTGTTTTGGGTTAGAAGGTGATAATGTAACTTGTATGTAATTTGGTGTCTGATTACGAACAGGAACTTATGTAATGTAAATATTGGGTTGGAGTTGATGTTATTGTGATTCAATTGGTTTCGCTTATTTCATAAGACTGATGTTGTGCAATGAATGAATGAATGAAAAGGTTATTTGTTTTATTCAATTGGTAGTGTATTTTTTGTAAGAATGAGAACGTTATTTGTTATATTCAATGAATAATGGTTACATTTTTGGGTTGTCACGATTGAGAAGATGAACAAGTTAAGAGAATGTGTATTTCTCCTAAAATAAATTTTGTCAACATTTTTGTAATAAAACTTAATACATAATATACGAAGTCAGTAATTTACTAAATACTCATACAAGCATGAAAACAACATAACTGAAGTTGCAAATGTAACAGTTTTCAGTTACATCGGTAGTACAAACATAAGTCTCCCACAAAAATGCATTCTGGACACCATGAACTGAACACACAATACATGCATCCTAGACACCCTGAACTGAACACACAATACATAAACATAACAGTTAGATAGACAAATATTAGGCAGACAATCTGACAAACTCATTACGGAAACACTTAGTCTAACACAGACATTACATATTAATGCATGACCTAATATTGCCGAAGTATAGACATAAACACTTAATTCGCGCTTAAATCGGCAATTTCAGAGTCTGAATAATCCGAAAGCTCAGGGTCAAAGACAAGTTCAGGATCCTCCATGATACCCTTGATAGCCGCAACATTTGGTTCTGTTCTGTTCTTCTGGGCATCCTTCTTAACTATGTATAGTTGCATATCACGGGCTAACCTACGGCGCATTTGAGAAATCTCACGTTGTAGTCTTTCACATAGTCGATCAACATTATCAGGATCTTCCTTTTAGATCTCAACAGAACGTGCTTTTGGCACCTTAAGTTGATTTTCCCGACTTAAGGTTTCCAGCTGTACCCGCTCTATAAATAGTGCGGGCCACTTAAGAA